CAAAACTAGCAAGTAGAATAAGAAATGTTGGAAGTCGAATATGAAAACTAAGCATTTATATCTTCAAAGTTGTATGTCAAAAACATGATGTTGGCAAAAAAACAGAAAGTACAATGTAAAATGCAAAGTTCGATTTTTGGCCCCGAATGTACGCCATACTTTATGACCGTGCCATTTTAGGTTATGCCTCTAAATTGGAACATGCTGAAAGCGACATTCCCACATTACAAGAGAATTTCACTACTAAGATAAACGCTCGTCCATCTCCTTCAGAAGGGTGGGCTCTTAAATCTTCCAAATCAAAGAACAAGAAATTCTCAGACAAACAGAAGCGTTACTTGTTGGCAAAATTTCAGTTAGGAGAGAAAACTGGAAGGAAGTGCAACCCCAAAGTGGTATCGAAGGAAATGAGAATAGCAAAGGACGATAACGGAGAGCTTCTATTTGACAGCAATGAGTTTCTAACGAGTAAGCAGATTGCAGGTGTTTTTTCGCGTCTAGCTGCTAAGCGCACTCTTACGGATATGGCGGACGATGACGACCTCTTAGAAGATGATGAAAGAGAAAGAGAGCTTCAAGATTTAAAGGCCGAAATAATGTCACAAATTTCGACAAGCCATCCTATAGTCCACGACACCTACGATATATGCGACCTTGTGACGAACAAGAAAATGTCCCGATTCTCAATTAAATTGCTGCAAGAAATGTGTACCTCGCTTGGACTCGACACATCAGAAATTGAAACTCGGCGAAAAAAGCCATACATCGAGCTACTGGAAAAAATTGTAAATCACTGTGAATGCCAACGAAACACATAATCGAAGTTAACTTTACCAAGCAGCATTGGGACCAGCTCTATGGTTTTGTCACACCATCATAATAAATTGGACTTGATGTAGATGTTGATGTTTATTGTACATTTTGTAGGCTCAGGTTATGCACAACCAAGCTCAAGTGCTCAACCAAGCTTAGGTGACCTTAGGTGACCTTTTTTTTTTTTTTTTTTTTTTTGTTTTTTTTTTTTTTTTTTTTTTTTTTTGGTAGAGCTGGAATTTATTGGACCAAACTAAGAATTATATATTTTTGTAATTTCGCAATTTCTAGCGTTAATTTTACAGTAAAAAGACTTCTAAAATAAATTAGAAAATTCATGAATATTAATAAGGTGATTTGACCAATGGCGTCCTTGATTTACATCACGTGACAAGTTTTTTATACCCCGCTAAAAAATCAAGATTCTTAAAGTCGGGGGCGGTTTTGAATTTTTCAGGGGAGTGCGGGGCTGATAATGAATACACGATGCATTAAAC